TCTGAACTTTCCTTGTCTGAATATGTGAACTCGGTGCGAGATTGGTCGATGAAATCAAACAAAAAAAAAATGGTGATCGCTTTGGTAGGGTATACAATGGTCACGAGTTATTTTTTTTCCTCGTGTCCGGTCAAATAACGTCTATCCCTTTCTCGTTCTTTCTCTTTTCTTTTCCTTCAGACATGATGTCCTTATCGACCAACCCTGGAACAGAGAACAACCAACGGTTACCCGTTCATAAGGGTTTTTTTTCTTTTTCTTTCTCTTATTGTAGTATCATGACCGTTTGTAGGAGAGAAAGGTCAGTATACATAGTGTTTTACGATTACTATTCTTTTTATTTTTTTTCTTCTAGATTTTTCTCTTGTCTCTCTTTGTTCTATATTTTCTCTCATTTCTTCGTGACCTACGCTAGTGTATTTGCCTGGTTCATTCACATTCTTCCTCACCACCATCGACACACATTAAGACCCGTTCGCGTTTCCTCGAACATAAACATATATTGCTCATCATCATCATCATGCCTAGCAAACCAGGTAAAAAGACTCATTCAGTGAGTCTTTATAAAACATTCGTTGATGCTTATATGAAAGCTCATCCTGATGTTAAACGTTCCGTAAGTTAATTTTATATATTTTAAAAAAGAATTGTTTTGAATGATAAAAAAAAAAGTATTCGATTGTAATCAAAATCTATTTGTTAAAATAAAAATGGTTTCATTATAAACGAATATATATTTGAATATATAAATATTTAGGTAAGACATCATGATGCTCAAGTTGAATGGAATGAAATAAAATCTAATGAAGAAATAGTTAAAGAAAGAATTGAACAATATTTAGAAATGTATAATCGATTAGGTGCACCAGAAAATGAAGGTCTTGCACGTCCACCATCACCTGTTGAACAACCACGTAAAGATAATCGTGGACGACCAAAAAAAAATGCAAAAAAACCTGAAACAACTGAAACATCAAATAAAGAAAATAGTGGTGAGAAAAAAGATAAAGATGAAGAATGGAATGGTTTAGATGATCTTGATGATGATGATGATGAGGAGGAGGAGGAGGATGATGATAATGAAGAAAAAGAAAAAAAGAAAAAAAAGAAAAAAAGTTATTATGTTAAAAAACGTAAACCAACTGATAATGACATTATTGAAGATCCATCGAAATCATCTCAAACAACTGCTGGTCCATTAGAACCTTTACCTAAAAAAATTCGTCAACCAGCACAAGAACGTGCTTATAAAGAATTAAGTGCTATTAATGAACGTATTGCTTCATTAGTACAAGTTAGACAAATGGGTTTAGCAACTGCAGAAAATAAAAAACAATTAAAAAAATTAATTGTTGATCGAAAAAAGAAAGCTTATGAATTAAAACGTCTTCAATCAAAACAACGTGCTTCAAATAAATATCGAAATAAACAAAAAAAAATTGTAAGCAACAAAAACAAAAATTTTCTTTTTAGTAAATTTCTTTTTTTTTTTGATTTAGGTTGATAATTTGTTAGAATCAAAACCTGAATTAGGTCCACAATTACATAAACTTTATCGTCGTGGTGTTGGTCGACCACGTGTTGAAGAACAATGTCCAGATTTATTACAAATTATTGAAGAAATTGCTAAAGTTGGCGGTGCTAGTGATGATCGACGACGTTCAGAAACAATTCGTCCGTGTTTAACATTAGATGATTTACGTGAGAAAATTAAACAACGTGGTTATGATATTAAACGAACAACACTTTATTATCGGTAAGAATATATTTTTCTAATACAGTCAAGTTTTTTCTCTTGTTTTGAGTGAACAGTAACAGTATTCTTTCCAACGAGCTATCTGACCCGACGATTTTATTCTTTTTCTGAGATTTAGCTCACTCCTGAGGAGAGAGTTTCTCCACACTCCCCCTCCCCCTTGGTCAGCTGTTTATTGAGAAAAAAAAATTTCGAGGCCTACTCCCTAGTGCAAGAAAGGAGCTGCTGTACTGTAGGAAGCTGCGGGTTCGGTTACACATTTTTTGTGGGCTCGCTGCTCTCCAGATAAGAAATCTAACAATAAGATATAACTGTACATTGAGTTGAATAGCTGAAATCTTGATCCTTCACTTGTTCATGTACACGAAGAATGCCAGATATTGATGGAAAAAACCTCGGGTTTAGACCTGCAGCTCCCTACTGTACTGATGATTTGTATGCTGGATAATAGATATGATGTCATCTGTCAAGGAAGAGGTGCTGATGTGTTCGCTTAGCTATTAATTTATTTAATTGAAAAAATTTATTTTAGTCTTTTACCTCATCGTGCATCATCAATTGAAGGTCGTCGACATATCCAAACAGTTCCAGTTCGTCTTCGTCGTGCACAAAATGATGAACATGGTAAACATGAAGATGGTCATTTTGCAACAGCAACAATACGTTATATGAAAGATTTAGCATCAATATTTGGAAATGATTGTGTTTTTTATTTATCACAAGATGATAAATGTAAAGTTCCACTTGGTTTACCAGCAGCACGTGTACAAGCTCCAATGTTAATGCATTTGGATTATCGTATACGTTTACCTGATCACGATTGGACAGTTGCACCAAGACATCAATTAACACCAAGTGTTTATGCAGCATGTCTTTTATCTGAAGATGGTGATTTAGGTTATTCAGGACCAACATATATAGCTGTACGTTCAGCTAAACATGATCAATCAAATGCTGATTCACATGCAACAGATTTTGATCGTCTTGTTAATTTAAAAGAATTTGAAAAAGTTGCACGTGATGATACAGGTGCAGTTAAACCAATTGTTATTGTTACTGTTGATGGTGGTCCAGATGAAAATCCACGTTTTCCTAAAACACTTGTTGCTAGTATTAAAAAATTTAAAAAATATGATTTAGATGCACTTTTTTGTCTTACACATGCGTAAGTTTTATTTTTATTCTATTTTATTTTCAAATTTCCAAAAAAAATTCTTTTTAGTCCTGGTCAATCAGCATATAATATTGTTGAACGTCGTATGGCACCATTATCTCATGATTTAGCTGGTCTTATATTACCACATGATCATTTTGGTTCACATTTAAATGATTCAGGTGCAACAATAAATGTTGATTTAGAAAAATTAAATTTTCGTAAAGCTGGACAAATCTTAGCTGAAACATGGAATCAAACAGTTATTGATGGTTATCCATGTTATGCTGAATATATTAATCCACCAGCAACATCCGAAGATGAACGTCGTCAAATTGATGTTAAAGTTATTATGGATGAACTTTTACGACAGTAAGGTTTTTTTTTTTGAATTTAAATAGATTTTACATTTTTTTTTTGTTTTAAATAGAGTTTGTGCTGAAGAAGAAGCTGAAGAAGGTCATGAATTTCGTATTCATGCATCTGAAGAATATTATCAAGAGAATGCTCGTCCAGCACGTGAAAAATTTGGTGAATTACCAAAATATGATATTGATGAATATTGGTGTGCAATGCATGTTTTACAAACCCAATATACATTACAAATAGTTCGTTGTAATTCAATTGAATGTTGTGGACCATGGCGTTCAAATTATATTGAAGTATTTCCACATCGATTTTTACCATCACCTGTACCATTTGAACGTACACCATATGGTATACGTATGGCTGAAAAAGATTATCAAAAAGGACAATTTTATGGTTCATTATTTCAACGTATACAATTTCATGGTGTTGTTATTGAAAATACACAAGTAAAAAAAATAAATAAATAATTTAAAAAAAAACAAAAGATTTAATTTTTGTTTTAGAATGAAATGTTACCATTTGATTATTGTTGTTCATCAGTTAGAAAAGAAATACGTAAACGTACATGTAAAATATGTAATCAATATATTCCGTCAGCTTA